GAGGGGTCAAAGCTAGCTAGCTATCCACCACCTCATTGGTGCAGAGAAAGCCCCGCCCCACACAGCCACAGGCACAGGCACAGATCATCAAGGGAACTCCAGGAAAGCTTGTCCGGACCACATTTTTAGGGCTTTACTGACTGCCCTTCCCCCATTACCAACATAGCGGAAGCGTGGTCACATCACCAGCTGCCCTCGACCACACACCTCTGCCCCATAATCACAAGCGAGAGGAGTGGCTGTGACCAAACCCCTACAATGCTAGTGGTATGATGCCATCCACTCTTCGGTGTGCAAAGTGGGGAAACACCAGTTCCAGTCCTCAAACCCCACGAAGGCACGGTCCAGCCTCAAGACTATGTTCCTACACCTTCACAGCTCCAGCCAACAGGGCCCTTCTGTCCCGCGGGACAATGGGCGGGGTAGACTCGGGGCCGCGAGTCCCAGGCTAACCGGACAGCGGGCTTTCCTGAGCACCGCCTCCCGACCAACCTGGGGGTGGGCAGAGGGATAAACGGGGGAGGGGCGTCGCGCTGAGTACCACGCTCCGGCCAACCGGATCCCAGGAAGCAGAGGACTCAAGCCTCAGCCCCCTCCCAGCGGCGCCCGGAACCGCAGAAAGAGACCCCCCGCCTCCTGGCCCCCTCACCCGACAGGGGCAGAGCCGCCGAGACCCCGCCCACATGAGAGCGGGAGGCGGAGTCTGAGAAGCCCGCCCGCGAAGTCCCCGCCCCGCCCCCTTCCCCACAGCCGCACGCTCGCGCCGGCCCCGCCCCCGAGCGCGGCGCGAGAGCCCGCCCCCTCCGCGCACCGGGTCTGCGCTCTCCTCCCCCTCCCGCGCCGAGCGCGCCGCTCCGCCCCCGCCCCTCACACATCCACACGCCTCCCGCCCGGCGCTCTACGGGAAGCCGAGGAGGTCAGCCCCCCAAAATACACGCCCTCGAGCACGGTGTTACCCGCCACCCTGGCTGCCGCCCGAACCCGGCCCAGCGTTCTCTCACCGCAAAGCTCCTCAGCCACTCGGCACTGCGCGTACCCCCTCAGCGTGAGCCTCGCACTCAGCGGGGAGGCCTGAGAACAGCGCTGAAGCAGGCCCGCCGAAGCGGACTGGCAGCGTCCTCTCGGCTGACGGAGCAGTCGCAGGCCCTGGTGCCCAGGCTGGGAAGGAGGGAGGGAGGGAGGGAGGGAAACTCCAAGGGGGAAAGGGGAGGGGGGAAGATGAAGAAACCGTCTCCGCCGCCTCTACCGCCGCGGCCGCTTCTCTGTTACCCGGGAAATCCCGCCCACTCCTCAGGCCCGCCCCGCTGAGGGAAGGCCCAGTTTCGCTCCGCTACAGGACACAGTCTCCGTTCGTCAAAAATATAGCCAATCACTGAGGTCTGCCTGCCCACGTTCCGCCCCTTCCCCCTTGGCTGGGAAGGGAGGGGGAGCTGCTCACCTTCTCCACGCCCCTATTGGCGGGGAGCCGCTCTAACTCAACCCCGCCTATTGGAGATGGAACGCTGAATCCCACCCCCAAGCCTCAACGTTATTGGAAGAAACTGGGAAGCTCTCCACGTCTCATTGGTTAACCCCACATAACCCGCCCCATACCGCCTGAACCACAGGCCTAACAAATCGGCTCCCGCCTCCGCCGGTCTTCGCATTGGAAGCTACCTCAGGCTCTCACACTGCCCCAGGAAGGTAAGTAACCGATGTGGGGTAAAATGTCCGTAAGAGAACCAGGCTCCTCCCACCACACTGCCGGGCCAGGCCCCGCCCGCAACAGTCGGATTGGTTAACTGGGCGCCGGTGGCGCCCCCATTGGACGCGGCTCCCGTCCAGGAAGGAGCCGATTCCGCCCCGTGCGAGAAGGCTGAGCCTCAGCAGTCCTTTTGTGGAATGTTTACACTAGAGACTGAAGCTCGGAGTTCTAAGGCCCTGGACAGGAGGGGTGCGCGGCGCAGCAACGAGACTCAAGACCCTGGGATTGGCAGGGAAAAGGTGGGAGTATCCCCACCCCGAAGAACTCCTGTAGCAAAACAATGAAAGGGAACCTCATCCTTTCAACCGTCATATTTAAATTTAAGCATGCTGCCTTCCCATAAACACCAGTATCTGGAACGATCACAGCTCCTTTCATAGCAAGCAGAGTACAGAACTCAGGTTTAGAGCCGAAAGCCAAGCACTAACCGCAGGAGCTGCATGCAGCCCACCGCTAAGGCTGCACGCTCCTCCCTCCCTAAACTTGTAGGCTCGGGAGGGCAGAGATTACCACCAGGGCGGCCCCTAGAATCCGCTGTCCAGAGAGACTCCGGGAGGCAGTGGAGAGGAGAAAGGCATTCACGATTTCCCGGGCAGATCGGGAGGCATCCTTAAACTGAGAGCTAGAGATCTCAAGAAACGACGCAGACACAAGCCTAAAGGATACACTCACTCAAAGCATAAAAGCTCCCGAGTTAGAGTTAAAAGACTAGAAAAGGGTTTGCACGGGCAGTGCCTATAATCTCAGCCCTTGAAGAGGTTGAGGCGGTAAAATCGCTGGAGCCTAGGCAGTCTGGGTCAACTGGGCACCAGAACAAGACCCATTAAAAAAAGAAGGGCTGTTCACCACATCCTTGGCCAAAGTGTGTTGGTGGCAATCCCTAAGCTTTCTCAGGGTAAGGAATAACTTCATGAATACACCAGGTACTTGTGATAACTAGTTGCGTTTATTTATTTAACAAATGGGGCGTGAACCCGATCTGGTCTTGCTTTGGGGGCGCTCTCATGGCGCCAGGAGAGAGGGCGGGCCCAGTGTTCCCGCTTTTTCCAGAAAAAAGGATCCTTCCAGACTTAGGTCCACCAATCCTCCCCAGGCGATCCAGCGGAGGAGACTAGAAATCAGCGCTGGCAACAGGTGGTTCTGACTCCAGAGATGACCTGGAGCCGCGAGGGCCGTGCAGAGTTGCTAACTCCATGAGCGGCCGGCAGGTGGGAGCAACCTCCCCGGTAACCGAGCCAAGCCTGGTCGGTGCCAGAGCTCTAAAAATAAGTCAGACCGACGCAAGCGACCCTGGGCCAAACCGCTCGGAGTTGATGTGGCCGCGACACTCTGGCTGGCCTAAGGCCACCTTCCTCCCATGGACTGCATGGCACCTGGATAGCTACCCCGAACCCACGCCTAAATTAGGCTGCCTTAGGGCTCCTGATGGCCGCTGGCGCGAGCTACCCTGGATCGTTCGTGCCCAAGGCTCCAACCCTAGGTTGTCAGGCTTTGGGATACCGCCTGCTAAGGGCACGACCAGCGTCCTCAGGATTGTCGGACTTTAGGGACGCCAGCAAGCAGAACAGACAAGTTATGGCATCCAAACTTTAATGCATGGCCCCGACCAGAGTCACCTCTTTTCCACGCCTGCAGTACCTCAGAGTTACTCGTCCCTCAAGTCCATTCCACACCCTACTGGCCTAGCGTCACTCATTCCTCCCCCCCCCCCCCCCTCCCCCGTCACCGCCCCTAGTTCCTGATCTCTAGCCCCAGAGAAATCTTTGTGTGCCTTCACGGCGTTCCCCCCCAATCCCACCCCACCGGGCGCGGAGCCCCATACTTCCGGGCGGGAGGGCAGTTGGAGAAGCTGGGCGGGCCTCATCCATGTGCGGGGCGCCCTTCCGATTGCGGGAGGGCGGGATTCCCCAGTCCGCCTATCACAAGGAGGGGCGGAAACCTGCGCCTGACATCAGGCGTTGGACTCCTACCCACCACAAAATCCTAGCCGCTTAAACTCCAGCCCGACCTTCGGATAGGCGGAGCTCGAGAGAACACCACCCAATCCACACCCGAGAAGGGAAAAAGGGAGTATCGTCTAACCAATGGAAGACAAGAGGAGGCAGGGCCTCTGAGGAGCCCGAGGTGGGTGGAGAGGAAGTGGCCCCGCCCCCCCGGTCCCCTCAGGGCTGCTTGCACAAGCTGCCGCTGGAGCAGATAGTAAACAGTCTGGGTCGGCACTGGAGCCGGCGAGCACTCTAAGATTTGGCCCAGCTCCTCCCCACTGCCCGCAACCCCCGCTACCCTACGGCTGGCCTTGGCTCCCGGCGCGCCCCCTGCCCCTCCCGCCCGCTGATGCATTTCCCTTTCCTGGTCCCGAGCGTGGAGACTTTTCCCAGGCGCCGACCTTCACGGCCCCTTGCAGGCCACTCTTGTGGACACGCGCCGCGTCCCCCGGCTCCCGGCTCCGAGGACTAGTCAGGAGGGAGCAAAAGCCCCCCCGCCTCCCAGCCAGTGGGCGGGGAGGGACTCGCTCAGTGCTGAGGCTCGGCTAGGGCGCGCGCTCAGGTCCACGCCCGGGCCCAGAGTTGGAGCCTGGCGACGCGCGGCAAGGTGGGGTCTCCTGAGACTGTACCAACCCCGACCCGCAACTTTTGCTGGGAGAGACACCGCGCGCCGTACCGGGCCGGCGTAGAGGATGCAAGCTCGCGGCCGGCTCGGCTTCGCCAGCTCGGGGTCCGGACTCCACCGCCGCCCCACAGCCCGCCCTGCGCAAGGAGTCTTCACCCCCTTTGATACAGTATTTTTAGGGGGGAAAAAGGCACAGCCGGGGTCGAGGGTCCCCACCGGCCAAACCCACCCTGGCGCAGCGACACCCACGAGGCCACGGCCGGCAACCCCCGCCCCACCATCCTGCCCGGCGGGGACACTGGAGAGCAAGCGGCGCCAAGGGACTCCCCCCCAGCTGAGCCTCCCCACTTTGGCCCCGGGACCCGAGCTCCACGGCTTCGGCCTCGGGGGCCGCGGCGCCCACGCCACCTGCAGCGTAGAAGGCCAGCGACCCCCGAGAGTCGGGAGCAGACCGATGGGAAGCAGCTGTGCACATACCTTCCGACCGGCGAGGAACCCTGATCACGCCCCTCGCGTACCATTGGCTTCCGGCCCCTTGGCGTCGCTGGGATCGCCCGCCCCTTCCGCGCCCCGCCTTCCCACCCTGGAGCGCCCCCTCCCTCCGAAAAATAAAAATAAATTAACCCGCACGGACCTGGCGATGTAGAGGATCGCAAGAAGCGTAGAGACTCAGATCCAGTGTGTGGACGCTGGGGGCGCCGCCAGGGCCCCCGGCCTCAGTTTCCTTTCCGCGCCGGAACCCCTTGGAGCTAGGCAAAGAGGCTAGCAGTGGCGCCCTTGCAACTGGCTGGAAGGTCCTGGCAGAACGGGTTCCTTCCGCTCGGATGGGCGCCTAAAATCAGTGATGCGAGCGGAAAGTCCTGGTGCAGAGCACTGAGCACCCGGCATCGAGGTTGGGCGGAACGAGAGTCTCCATGGACTGCTTCGAAGCAAGAGGCTCACTCCACCCTCGACTAGAAATAGATGCTGCAAGTTGAGGCCAGGAAGCAATGTGCATATAAGCCAGGCATGCAGAGGCACCCGAAGAAGGGAGATTACTCGTAACTGAAAGAAAATTGGGAGAAGGCTTCTTAGTGGAGGTGGCATTCAAGGTGAGTCTGAAAGATTTCATCCAGCAGAAATGGAGGAGCATGTTATTTTCGGTTATTTTAGCGAAGGGCTGGAAGAAGGGCAAGGGAAACCGTAAAGGCTTCACATGTGCTGTAGTAATGAAAACGAGGCTTGCAGAGAGATAAAAGTATGATAGGGATTACAGTGGTTGGACTTGTACAGACCCCAAGACCGTGGTTGAAGATATCTGCATTCTAGTAGCCCCTGGGTAGGTTCAGAGGGTGGGCCAAGCGAGGAGAGGGAACACACAGAACCAATCCTAGAGCCAAGGACATTCCTGTGAGCTAAACAGACCTTCCCAAAGCTGCTGAGGAAGGGACTGCGGTGTGGCTACCAGCTGAGAGCCTTGGTGCCCAGAGGCAGGAGATTCCTGATAAGTCCTTGTGAGAAGACTGGGCCAGGTCAGGGGCAGTGCGCAAGGAGACTAAGAGAAGAGCTGTTTTTGAGAAAGACTGAAGAGGAATGGTGCCTTATTTAGTGTGAGCAGCAGAGGAAAGGAGCCAGTGGCCTTGTGGAAAGAAGAGGAAGAGATGGTCTACGCTTAGGACAGCCAGTGGCAGTGTCCTAGGCAAGGTCCTTCTTCCCTATGGGCCTCAGCTTTCCTGTGAAATGAGGGTGGTTTGGGAAGCCAAAATTGGAAGATCACAAGTTCAAGGGCAGCCTGGACGACACAGCGAGGCCCTGTCTCAATATAAAAATTTGAAAAGGGCTAGGGAGCCCTTGTGGCAGAGTGCTGGCTACACATATGTAAGACCTTGGGCTCAGTCCCTAGTACTACCAAAGATGGATGCTAAAATTGAGAGACTGGGGCCATTTGCCACTAAGGAGAGAGGGCAGGCAGGAGGAAGAAGTAGTAGCTTGTGAGGGGCAGTGGGTCCCTTGGCTGCAGTCTTGAGACCTGCAGCCTGAGGATAGAATCACTGTAGGAATGAGTGTTGATGGCTGAGAAGGGAGGCCTACCAAGCATTGAGGTCACAGTCCCCTTGCCTTGGGTGCACACCAAGTTTTCCTGTATCAGAACAGATTCCCCTATGTCTTATCACATCTCAGGTGTGTCCCCCCCCCCCCTTCTTCAGGAGCTCTGCCCTGGGTATATGCATGATGGGTGCTGTGTTACTGTGAAAAGAGGTAGTGTACAGTTCAGGAATATTGATCCGGACAGATGTTGAGTCCCTGGTTCTTTGTGCATTGGCTTCCTCCTCTTTTCTCTGAGGACCGAGTGTCATCATAAGATGAGCTCCCTGAGCTCTGTCACCCAGTGAGGTTCTGAGCTCCCTTCCCCTGGTTTTTCAGTGCTAGGGATGGAACCCAGGTCTTCCATCCTAAGCCAGCACTGTCCCATTATCTCCATCCATAATATCTATAGATGCAGTCCCAGGGGTGTGATTGACCCTGGACAGCAGACGCGTGCTTTGGAGGAAGTTACTCCTGGAGGATTTGCAACCCTAAAAGTTAGCCACTCCCCACTCTCCTGGACACTAGACTGAGCCACTGGAAGCAGCCCTACAAGGAGGCCTTGGGATTGTGGCTCCCCTCCCCAGCCTATCAGTGAGAACAAAACTGAAGGGATCTGGGGTCTGGGTGAGGCCAGGTTCCAGTGCCGGGAGACTTTTGTGTGAGGCTTTCTCAAGGTTGTGTGAGTTAAAGATTGTCCATACTTACAGGTAAGCAAAGTGAGTTTTCAAGCAGGGCAGGTCCCCTCTGGGTGGTCCATGCCAACTGCCTTCTCTGTACCCTCAGGGAACACACTGAAGAAAGAATTTGCCTTCCTTCTGCTCCACACTCCTTACCTCCTAACTCCAGGGGCAGTTTGTCCCCATATAGTTCTACATTTCTAATTTCTTTCAGGAATTTATCTCCAAAAGAAGCAAAATTTGTCTCTTAAGACCCACAGCTGGCCTACTCTTCAGCTTACAGCACAGATGCTCAGACCTCCTACACTTCTGATACCTCAGACTACCTCACCTCATGGGTATCACATGTATTGCTTTTACAAAGGGATTCAGTCACAATTCTGGTAAGTGGTGATTAAGACATTTAATGGTAAGACATTTAAGTGATAAAGAAGACATTAGCTGTGACCCCAACACTCAGGTTCAAGACCAACATAGGCCATATAGTTAGCTCAGGGGCAGCCTGAACTATACATCAAGACTGTCTCAAAAAATAAACAACAAAAAATCAAAGACGTTAGAACTGAGGCAGAAAAACATGGCTGAAAGTTCAAGGCCAGCCTGGACTACATAGCGAGTCTCTGCCTCAAAAAAAAAAAAAACCCTAAAAAATACTTAGGGGGCTGGCCAGACAGCTCAGTGGACTAAAGTGCCTGCATAGGCGGAGCACAGGGACCAGGATTTAATCCCTAGCACCACAAGCCATGCTGGCCCCACCCACCGGGCACACTGAGATGGACTGATACTGGGCCTGGTGGTATGTGCCTATAATCCCAGCGCTTGGGAAACTGAAAACAGGAGGATCAGTTTACAATCTACATAGTGAGGCCCTGTATACCCTGTTGCAAATACATAACAACAACAAAAAGAAGACCAAAAAAAAAGTGTTTTTAAAAAAACTTAGGGCCAAGCATGGTGGGCACATGCCTGTGATCCCAGCTACTCAGGAGGCTGGGCAACCCTGTCTCAAAGTAAAAGTAATGAAAGGTCTGGGGGTGTAGTTCAGCACTAAAGTGTGTTGATCTAGCTTGTTGAAGGCCTGGGTCCAATCCCCAATTGGGGGAAGAGAGGGACAGGACATCAGGGCCTGTACTTGATCACCAGAGCTCAGCTGTGGCAAATGACCTCTGCTACAGGGATTGATTATGTAGGAAGGGAATCTGTGGTTAGTCCATAGGCCTCCACTATATCCAAGGGAAAACCCAGCAATGGTCAGAATGCTAGTGTAGCCATTTCCTAGCTAAAAGATTTCAACAGGTCATTTCTCTCCAGTTACTTTATATGCAAATTAAGAGCAAGAATGCCTGGGATTTCAAATGGGGCAAGGATAGCACTTGGCAAAGAGTCCCAGGACCTTCTCTTCCTCCAAGAGCTTACTAGGCTCTCTGGCTATCCTATGCTAAGTCCCTGGAGTCACAAATCGTAGGGCCAAACAATCCCCTGATGAATCCCATCTCCATGGCAAGCAGTCAGTTTGCGTTGTACATTTGTCTGTCTTCTGATTTCTGAGTAGCCTTGGAAGCATAAACGTTTTTAGTAGTTTTGACTCCTGATGTTCACTGCCTTCAGATATCTCCTTGGCAAGCATTAGCCTGGCCCTCTGGTCACTATTAGTCTAAGTCAAAAGGTAACAGCAAGTTGCCCAGTCTGACAGACTTCATGTTTTTAAATTGTTGCCTTTTGTATACTAGTTGTCTAGTGACTTATTTTAAAGTCAGCATGTCCCTTTGTTCAAGTTAACTTTTATTCAGAAGCCTGGTATGGAAACCACATGTGTGCTCCTTGTGCAGCCTGATTTCTGAAGCTTCGCCTCCCATTCAGCCTCCTCCCCTGTCCTGCCCAAGAGCCTCTTGTGAACCTAGTGAACCTGCCTACGAAACATTGCCTTTATCCTACCATGTTCTGCAATCCTGAAGCCTGCGTTCTTTATCTCAGGCTTCAGGGACTCTGCTTTCTCCACTCATCCCTGAAAGCTCATTCTCTTCTCACCTCCCACATCCAATATGACATCTACATCCAAAACTCATTATGAACTAAGTCTCAAAGTGACATTTCTAGCTTGACCATCAAACTCCACACTTTTGGCTGTTGGCCACAGAAAGGTATCATTAAAAATTGAAGAAGGGCCAGGGCCGGGGAGATAGCTCAGCAGCATAAGCAGCCTGACTGGCAAGTGCAAGGTCTTGAGTTTGATTCCCAGTACCATAAAAAGAATTGGGATGTATTATCCAAACCTACCCAATCAAGACAGTAACTAGAACCAAACAAAAAAAAAAAAAAAAAAAAAAAAAGTTAAAGTTGGGCATGGTGACACATCCCTATAGTCTCATCTTGGGAGGCTGAGATGGGAGAATTCCATTGAACTCAGAAGTTCAGAGACCAACCTGGTTAAAAATCTGTCTCAAGGAAGGAAAAAAAGTATATACAAGAAAGTAAAGTGTTTGCCTGGCAAGTACAGGTCTTAAGTTTGCTTCCTGGTACAAAGAAAAAAAAGTAAGAGACCCCATAAGATAAAATGGCTACAGTCAGTGTTAAGACTAAGACAAAGGGCTGGCCAGATAGTTCAGTGGACTAAGCGACCAGTAGTTCGATCCCCAGTGTGCTGTGCCAGCCCCAAGCCCAGGGTGTGCTGAGATGGGGCAAATGAGTCTGGGCGTTGTGGGAGGCTGAAAACAGGAGAATCATTGTGTGTCTGATCTGTGTAGTAAGACCCTGTACTAAATACATTAAAACAAAACAAAACAATACAAGCTCAGCTGGGCATGTTTGGGTATACCTGCCATCTCAGCACTCAGGAGGCTGAGGCAGGAGGATCACCTCAAGTTCAAGGCTACCCTGCATTACATAGCAAGGCCCTATCTCAAAACAAACAAAAAAAGAATATATTCTATTAGCTGAGGTGTCAGTGGCCAGTGTGGTTAGCTACGTCTACCATGGTCTAGGTCTGAAACTTATGGGTCTTCAGTGCTGGAGCACTTCAGGGTTAGCTGCCATGGGAAGGACTTTATGACAGCTGCAGGGATGGAGTGGCAGGAAATGAGCCAGTTTTGGAGCATAACATTTCTGTTTGCAGACCTCAACCTCTCTGTGGTTCATTCCTCTAGGTACAGTCTAAGACACTTCTACCTCGTGTCCTGTGACCAAGGCTGGGGCAGATGCCCTCCCAGGGGAAATGTACTTCAGGCTGGTAGGAGCATCTGTTCCCACCCTTGACGAGTCAACAGCTGCTTATGGGGCTAAAACAAGAACATGGGCTCTGAGCTGCCTAGAAGTTTGAATGTACTCATGCTCTCAAAGGAGAGGTGTCAAAGAAGGATGCACACCCAGTCTCCTAATGGCATAGTGCTATTGCTTTCCATGTCTGCTGCAGTGTGGTGACCACAGGCTGTGAATGCACCACAGCTTCAGTTCGCATGAAATCCCTCCGTGCTCATCTCTCTCCTCTATCAGACATGGGAGGAGACAGAAGAAGGGAGGGGGAATATTGCCCTGCAGTGCTGTAGGGTCCAATGACACAAGGGGGCCAAAGCATCTAGCACTGAGCCTGGCACACAGTAAGCACCAAGGAACACTGGCCACTGACCCCTCTGTCTGAAGCTAGGGGCACAGTCTACAGATAAGATGGGTGGCTCTCCGAACTGATAGCCAGTCATGGTGACACCTCACTGTAATCCCACTTGGGGAGGCTGAAGCAGGAAGACCACAATTCCACACCATCCGGGGCAACCTAGCAAGCCCCTGTATCAAAAAAAGAGCAGGGGATGCAAGTCAGTGAGAAGGCCCCAGGGTCAATGCCCCAGTACCACCACCACCAAAACAACAAAAACCCTGAGGCTCCCTCCCTGCCTCCCCAGCCACCCCAGACAAGCTCCTGTGCCCTCTCCTTACCTTCCCAGCCCAGCCTGCTAAAGTGATGAAAATAAAAGGGTTTGATCATGTTGGTATATTTATATGTAAATACAAAATTGTATCACTGTAAGATATTGAATACGAACATTACAATTATTACTGAATCTGACTCAGTCCATTGATGTTAAATACAAAATGAAATGATTGTAAAAAATAAGAATATACACATTCAAAGAGCTTATTACAGTATAAAATTACTGAGGTCTGATCAGCTGCCAACCTCATTTCTATGGGGGAGTTGGGGTTTCAGGGACTCTCTTGGGAGTATAGAATACTGGGGACTCCTGATTCTATCCCTGCAGTCAGGCTGGGTGGCTAGGAGCAGGCGGGTGACAGGAGACAGGGGACAGGGGACACTAGCTGGGATATTATGCTTATAATTGACACAGAGTCCACCCAGTTAGGACCTGGCAGATAAAAAAATGGGTGTCTCAGACAGGACATAGGAAAGGAACCTCTAACAAATGAGAAAGGAGCCTGCTTATCCTTTGGGAGGCATTCTATGGTGGGTTTCTCCCTCACTTTCTGCTCCCCTCCTTTCTTGCTGAGACTTCGTACCGATTGTTTTTGGCTCTGCTTGCTTAGTGCATTCATCTCTACCCCATCTTCCATCCCTAGGGTGGAAGAGGAAAGGGAGGGCCTGGCTTCACGGTGGAGGTCTGGCCCCCAAATCGGCAAAGTAAACAGAAAAGCTGTTAGATAGGGGCCACCCATGCTGAAGTACACCAGTGTCACCACAAACCAGCATTCTTGGTTCCAGTGGGCAGAATCCAGAGGGAAGTCATCACTTGAGATGAGAGCCTGGGTGGGAGCAAGGATAGGTGTGTATGTACCACCCCAGCCAGTCCAGCTAAAAGCAGGGCCCAAGAAGAGAGGAGCCTTGAACTTCATCACAGAGTCCCAGGAATGTCTACGGAGAGATCTGTGTGTATATGTATTTATAGAATACGACCATATTATCACATATAATATATATTATATACACACATACATATGGACCCAGACACAGAAGTGCACATATGCACACGCACACACATGGAAGGACGGAGGAGACCAGACTATACGCCCTATGTATAAACGTGCTTGGCACTCAGGCAATCTCTAGAATATGTAACTTGGTCAAGCTCTCTGGGCAGGAAGATAAATGCTCTCAAACCTTCCCACCAAATCCTAGCAAGGGAAGGTGGAGAGACAGGAGACCTCCATCCAGAAGAATGGCATTGGGAGAGGGAGGAGGTCCCTGCCACTTGCCTTGGGGCCCTGGTAAATATCAATAGCCACAATTTGGTTTTAATAAGGCACAGTTCAATAGCAGGTGCTAGGAGTCAAAAACACATCACTGCTGGCCCTTTCTCGTGGCAACCCCACCACATTGATCTGGCGGAAGGAAGAGGCTGTCTTGCGTGCACGCAGGTACTGGGAGCCACAGGAGGCTGATCACGGCTTCAGCAGAACCAACGGCAACCTAAAGGCTCAGCGGTGTCCAGGGTGGTCTAAGGGAGGCTGGCCAGCAGGCAGGACACTGTGGGGTAGTTACTGACCCTCCATGGCCAGCAGGTTATGGCCAGAGGGCACCATGCCCTCCTTTTCTGCAAACTCCAGGATGGCCTTGTAGCAGAAATAGTACTGCTCGGGGGTCTGGATGCTGAAGGCCCTCTGGGTCCGCATGCGTGACACTGTCTGGAACACGTTGAGGGTGCCAAGTTCTTCCAGCTGTGCCAGGCAGATGTCCAGAGAGCAGAAGGTACCTGAAGAAGGAAGGAAACAGTTGAGCTATCCTACTGTCCTTCTGTCAATACTTTGGGCAGGATTGGGTGAGTGAACTCTAGGCAAGGTGTGTACAGCAGGAGGCCAGGTGGCCTTAGGCTTGAAGAGGTGGCCACAGAAGTGCTCAAGGCCTCTCATTTCTTGGAAGAAGAGTAAGCAGGCAGGTATCAGGAGCTTCCTGTTTTAACTGCAGACACAGCACCCACACCCTCCCCAGATCCTGACTCTTCTCCACAGGCTAGGCCAAGGGTCCTGCAGCGCACACTCCTAGGACAGCAGCTGCTGCTGGCCCCAGAATGCAGAGTGTGGCTCAGAGCGGGAGTCCTGGGAGGGGCTGGGAAGAAAGAGCAGCCAGTTAAGTTCTCTGGGCCCCCTACAGTGATGGCAATGATAACGAGAGGTCAGAAGATATCTTTGATAAGAGGTCAATTTTCAGAGAGTCTGGTTTGTAGAGTATGTATTCTGGCTGCCACCACACACAGGTCAGGTACCAAAAGGACACCAAAGGGGCTTTTTAGAGCAGTTTACAACTGGGATCAAGTGATTCCAAACTCTCAGATGTAGCTGAGAGCCCTGTCGTTCCATCCCACCCACTCCCCTGGGTGCTCCAATGCTGCCCTGGTATGTCACCTGTCCTGCCGATGCCTGCACTGCAGTGGACTACGATGGGTGGCTGCTCAGGGCATTGCCCCTTGGAGCGGGCACCCATGCTGCTGATGGCCAGGCTCTGCTGGCTCCTGACGGCCCTCAGGAAGTCAATGAGTGACGCTGCCGAGGAAGGGACGCCATAGTCTGGCCAGCTGAGGAATTGGAAGTGGGTCACCTGGCGTTTCTCCCTCTCCTGAGATGAAAAGAGCAACATGAGTTGATGATATTTACTCTGCCTTCCCCCGACTGTGGGGCTTATCCAGGTTCTCTATGCCTCAGTGTCCCTGCCACCAAGGCTCCTGTTTACCATGCTTCACCTGCTTCACGGTCACTTCTCTATTGCAAACCCAAAGAAAGGCAAGGCTCAGTATGCACAGGCATTCTTACAGGGTCCAGGTTTCCTCCTTTTCTTTGTTTTTGCTTTTGCTTTTCCTCTCTCTCTCTGTCTCTCTCTGTGTCTGTCCATCTGTCTGACTGTCTCTGTATGTGCATGTGCGTGTGTGTGTGTATGTGTGCAAGTGCGTGCACGCGCTACTAGGGATTGAACCCAGGATCTTTGTTCACTGTATAATTTTTATTCTGGGCCAACAAGATAGCTCAGTGGACTAAGCACCTGCTTAGACAAGCACAGGGACCTGGGTTCAATCCCTGGCACCACACGCAGCACTGGCTTTGCCTCTGGGCACAAAGAGCTGGCCACTGAGACCAGGCATGGCGGTGCGTGCCTATAATCCCAGTGCTGGGGAGGCTGATAACTAGAGGATCACTATAAATCCAAGCTGACTAATGCGACCTTGTACCAAATACATTAAAAAAAATTTAAAAACGAAAGCACAGTATATAATTTTTGAGTCAGGGTCTTGCTAAGTTGCCCAGGCTGGCCTTGAAGGTGCAATTTTTCTTCAGCCTCTGAGTGTTGGGACTACATGCATGTGCCTGCGCTGCCGGCTTAGGCTCCAGATCCATAATACTGCTGTATTTTTCCTCTCTAATACCGCTGCTGTGTTGAGATGACAGGATTCTCTCAGTTCTGAACTGAACATCCTTATTGGTCCCAGAAAAACAGAAGCAGCTATAACCTCCCTGAAATCCCCCTGCTCCCTCTGGAAATTCTGTAGAGTACAGATTCTCCCCCCAACTCCAAAAAGAGAGAAAACACAAGTCTAGGTTTACCTCTGTGTTGTGAATTTCAAGTGTTGTTTTCTTATAATGGTTCATGTTCTCCACACCCAAGTTGGTCACCGTGAGGAAGCCAAATCGGATCCGAGTGTCCTTCTCTAGAGGCCAGTACTGGCCACACTTCCTCCTGCCACCTTCCTCAAAGCTGAAGACACAGGTCAAAGTCAGGAACATTCCTCCCTAAACAGTGAAAGTCTGCTCCTCCTGAATGCTGTCAGTGAGGTGGCAATGTTGTCTCCTGCATTGCTTCTAAGTCATACTACTGGGTCCTGGCAGAGAGGTAAGGAATCCACTCCATTCTAAAGGGACAAAGTACCTGTATATCATTTAAGACACTGATTGGCTTTTCTCCTGATACAAAGTGGCACTGTCACCAAGCTGGGATAATGTGGGTGAATGAAGAGGACAACAGAAAGAACACATGCTGGCCTGTGCCCTGGTCACTGTTCATCCTGTTCTCCAGCAAGGGGTCTCACTGACAAGGGAGGGGAAGATGGTAAGGACTGCACTCAGAGGCCCCAAGTGGCTTCTCCATTCTCCTGGCCAAGCAGACGGAGCTTCACTGGGAAGAGAATGGAACAAGAGTTTTATCCCCTCATTTGAAACTGGTAACAATCAGTATAGTGATACTAACAGAACTGACCATTCCTGTAAGTGGGCAGCTGTGTAGGGCAACATCTCAACAGCACTTCTTGCACTATAACTTCCTGTCTAACCTGTTGTGTTTCACCTCTAGTTCTTCCCTTTGCCTGTGAGGGAAACATGGACATGGAGAGAGGACAGCAGAGGAGACCTGCCAATTTCATAGCCAGGAGGCAGGGCACTCGGCACTGGCTAGGTTAAGAGGAAATGCCTGTGTTCAATGCCTAGCCAAGGCTAGGACCCCAGAACACGCTGTCATGGTCACAGGGCCAGCATGGCTATGGATTAAGGCTCTGGTGTGTTATAGCCATCTATCTCCATCATCCTTTTAGCTAAGAGAAAGCTCCAACTCTTCATCATTGCCATGACTTTCCTATCTTTCAGTTTTTTTAGAGACAGTGTCCCAATGTGTAGTCCAAGCTGAGCTCAAACTCAGTGATCCTCCTGCCTCAGCCTCCTGAGTGCTAGGATTACAGGTGTTCACCACCACACCCAGCCCTTCAGTTTTTTTTGTGGAACCGGGGATTGAACTCAGGCCCTTGAGCTTGCCAGGCAAGATCTTATTCTACTGAGCCATTTCTCCGGCCCCTTTCTCTTCTTTTTTTTTTTTTCCCCCATAATTTTATTGATAAACAAATAGCAATGAGACAGTTTCAAATGAAATCGGTAGGACAGTTTCAATAATTAACACATTGCATACATTCTTCCTAGTGGTTAATTGCTGTACAAGATGTGGAGATGATATCCTATTCACAAACACCATTAGAACAAATCGCTCTATTCATTAAGAGAATGTAACTATATATCTATCCTAGCCACTCTGAATACACAGATACAAAATGGACATTCATCTGTATACCCTTTTTTTGTTAAGTTCCATTATTTGGATATTATAGGTGTGTAAACTCAGCAAAATATTCTAAAAGAGTCCAGTAGCCCATAATAGTATTGGGTCTTCCGCTTGACTGGTAATGTCAGAAATTGTTGACCTGAGTCCCCTACAGCTCAACATAACAGCATGGCTTTACTTCTTCTATTTCATTTTTATACTTTCCTGCTGGATGGTTAAGACCAAGGTAAAGCAAGACCTATGCAACAAGGGTTGTAGCTTTTGGGTCTGATAAGGTCAGTGAAATCCCCTCAGGATTTATCCTGAGATCCTGTACCTCAGATTGTAGAACCTTTGTCAGTGTCAGCCATGTGGATGAGTCACGGCCATTGCTTGGCCAATGTGCTCTCTGTGAAAGCCTGAGAGAATGTTTTCTCTCCATGTGACTCTCCTCAGGCACACTCTACATCATCGATCACTTTCTTTTTTGGCCCCATAATCTCCTTGATCAGAAAATTTGGGACACTACTGAGTTACATGATGTTACAGTACAAGTTCTCATATGTCCTGAGTCTTAATTGACCTTAGACGGCTAGAGCCAAAATGTTGGTTTTCCTTGCAGCCCTCCTTTCCCTTTCTCTTCTTTTTAATTTTTGAAATAGTGTCTTGCTGCATGCATAGTTCATGCTCGCCTTGAACTCATGGCACTCCTGCCTCAGCCTCCTGAGTTCTGGGATTACAGGTGAGTACTACCATGCT